GCTGGTCCACCAGGTCTCCGACTGCACCTGCTCCCCCCTCCTCCCTCACCTGTTTTTACATGTTCTGGGGCCGTGTGTCCTACCTGTACCCATCGGGGCCCGCCCCCTCATGTGAGCACCTGCGGTAAGGACTGGCACGACGACGGCTGGCGTGGCGCGCCCTGTCTTCTACATGTTCTGGGACCGCGTGTCCGAGCTGTACCCATCGATCGGGGCCCAGCCTACCCACGTGAACACCAACGGCGCGCGCTGGCGCGACGACGGCTGGCGCGGGACGCCGGCCTCTCTCCTCCCTGTTCGCTTCCTCCCACCCCGCTCGCTCCCCCCTCTCCCATGGCGGCAGCGCCCGGCACTGCCGGGCGCTGCACCTTGCCGCCTCGGCGGCCCCGCTTGCCATGGCGCTGCGCGGCTCAGGCCCGGCCCTCGGCCATGCCGTCAGCGCATCGTGCGCGGCTGCTGTCCGTCTTCACGCGGCGACCGTGCGGGGCAGGTTTTCCCCCTGCGCTCCACCGACATCCTGTCGGACAAGAACGGCCCTCGTCTGCGGCCGCACCTCAAGCAGGCTGCTGTCTGGTCGTGGATTGGACTACCACCCTTGGCCTCATCCGCATCACCCGATGGCACAACGTTGCACATCGCCTTCGCGGCGCCCCTCTTCCCCCTGGGCCTCCTCCGCATCATCCGGCGGCACAACGTTGTTCATCGCCTTCGTAGTGCTCTTGTCCCTCCTGGCCGACCTGGTCAAATGGCACGTCCACCTCTGCAATGCTTGAGGCTGGTGTTCGCGACGTGCCGTTGACGGCGCGACCACGTTGCTCGCCCTCCGGGCCATCGCCTCCGGCCCCTGTCCGCGGCACACTTTTTTCTGTGCAAGCTCTCCGGCACCGCCTTCACCCCGGGCTTCGCCCGCTCCGGCCGCCTGAGGCCCCGCCCTCCTGTACTCTGTCTCCGCGTAGCCTGCCTAGCTTTTAGCGGAAAAGGTTCGCTCTCGCCCCGCCGACAAAAAAATGAGCGCTAGTTGCAAGTATGCACATGTTTGAAATCGGTGTGCTACCAAAGCTGAAACCGAAAAACTATTCGTACTCTTGCTCCTCGTTCTCTTCGCCCCCCTTCTTCTCCTCCTCCTTTCCCCCATCATCTGCTCTTTCTCCTCGTCTCCTGGGGGCCCGGCTGGGGACGGCGTCGTGTCTAGCTGAAAATAACTGAAAACACGTGGGGCCCAAGCCCACGACGATCCTATGGATGGCCCCCAAGATGCTGATGGGGGTCAAATTGAGCGTCTATGAAGCTAGGACAGAAGCTGTACTCGGCGCGAGATAAGACGTGTCCTTTGAATGAACAAATCAATTCTGAATGCAAGAACGCCGAGTGCTAAGAAGACTTCTATCCCCCAAAAGCACTAGACTACACAACTGTAAACAACACAAAATATAATAACATTGATGAAGAATTTCCAATATCCAAACCTTCGCATGCCAATTGCGCGCGTGGCAGGATGTGAAAACTCCCATTGCCAGCATCGGATTACTCTGTTCGTTCCGCCCCAAGTTTCCGCCCCAAGCGTGAGAGACGTCTGAGCGGAGAGAAGGCGTGCGCATCAGACACGTATACGGAGACAAACTGCCAAACATCTGTTGTGCGCGCACAATTCCGTATAGTTTTGAGTATCGCTGACACTGCGGCGCGATGAAAAATGAATCAAATGCATAGATCAAAATTCCGGGCATCAGCCGTTTGATGAATTGCCCGGCAAAGAACCGCGGAAAGTGAAAGCTTGCCTGCACAATTTTTCACATAATGGAGCAAGATCCACCCAGAAGAGATTTTATAATCTATTTGCTATAGGTATTTTCTTGCCAGATACGTGCGCACAAATGAAAAATTCAAAGTTCCCGAACCAGATGCCAAGTTAACTTTGAAGACAAATTTTGCACAAGAATTGGCACTGACCCTCTGCTGCAAAGATATTATCTTACCGTTAGATATGAAGCCCAAGATCCATGAGAACGCGTCGAGGATGGGGCAGGGACCGTTGGACGCCTTTCCCAAGAAAAATTGCGACAAACGCCACCATAAGATTGATTATCGCGTCAAGAACCGAAGGTGCGCACGAGTCTGAATTGCGCGAGTCGAGTCGAGATACAGGAGACCTGCGAGTCCATATGAAGAATGAAACGACATTAAAATGATTCGACATTCGTCTATCGGCACTGAATGAAGGCAAACGTTGGCAACCACATGATGCCGACTGATGCCGGAAACCATTTTAATTTGCATTGTTGCAATGCCACATACATCAGGATAATAAGGCAAACAAGAGAGGAGGGAGAGGGAGCGACAAAAGAAGCGGTCGATGATCAGCGATCCCAATCAGAACTTCAACTGATACGTCTAGCAAATCTGCGCAAGATCGAGCACATCAGCCAACCGCGCTGGCGACCGAACAATTCGTTGAAAGCCATTGTTTTCACGCCATTTTTCCATGGTCGTTTTTGCGATGTCACGGAGTGGGAATGACGAAGCATTTTTTGCACGTTCAAATCATAAAGTAACATTGCGTTTGCGTATTTGCTGAATTACTGTTAAAGATTCAACTCAGCGAATTTCTCTGTATCGAGAAGGCCGGTACCAACAGCAAAATTACCAACAGCCGAATGATAAATTTACAAGGGCCCACATTCGCTTTGCTTTGTGGATTGCAGGTCAAGAAAATGAAATCAAACACGCGTTCGTATGATGGTCACAGACTAGAGAAGTATTTGTCGGAATCGATTTCTTTGTTTCACAACCCAGGAAAAAATTAGCCTGGCGAAGGACCCAACCATATGCAGTTGTGAGTAGTGCTGGTGTGAGTACCGTCTTCGGTGGATCTCCCTATGGGGCCACGAACCGTTTGAGGGGTGTGCCGAAATGGGTGGTGGGGCGGCATGCGAACGTTGCCACTGGGGCCTCCGGTGGAGCTCCTTATGGGGCCACGAAACGTGTGAGGGGTGCACCGAAGTTGGTGTGGGGGCGGCATGCGAACGCAGCCACTGGGGCCTTCGGTGGAGCTCCCTGTGGGGCCACGAAACGTGTGAGGGGTGTGCCGAAATTGGTGCGGGGGCGGCATGCGAACGCAGCCACTGGGGCCTTCGGTGGAGCTCCCTATGGTGCCACGAAACGTGTGAGGGGTGTGCCGAAATGGGTGTGGGGGCGCATGCGAACCCAGTCACTGGGGCCTTCAGTGGAAATCCCCATGGGGCCACGAAACGTGTGAGGGATGTGCCGAAATGGGTGTTGGGGAGGCATACGAACCAGGCCACTGGGGCCTTCGGTGGAGCTCCCTATGGGGCCACGAAACGTGTGAGGGGTGTGCCGAAATGGGTGGTGGGGAGGCATGCGGACCCTGCCACTGGGGCCTTCGGTGGAGCTCCCTATGGGGCCACGAAACGTGTGAGGGGTGTGCCGAATGGGTGGTGGGGAGGCATACGCGCCACTGGGGCCTTCGGTGGAGCTCCCTATGGGGCCACGAAACGTGTGAGGGGTGTGCCGCCGAAAGGGGTGGAGGGGCACGAATGGGTGGTGGGGAGGCATGCGAACCCTGCCACTGGGGCCTTCGGTGGAGCTCCCTATGGGGCCACGAAACGTGTGAGGGGTGTGCCGAAATGGGTGGTGGGGAGGCATGCGAACCCTGCCACTGGGGCCTTCGGTGGAGCTCCCTATGGGGCCACGAAACGTGTGAGGGGTGTGCCGAAATGGGTGGTGCATGCGAACCCTGTCACTGGGGCCTTCGGTGGAGCTCCCTATGGGGCCACGAAACGTGTGAGGGGTGTGCCGAAATGGGTGGTGATGATGATGATGATAATGATGGTGATGATGATGATGCTGATGATGATGGGAGGAGGGAGGGGGGGGAGGGGGAGGAGGCGAGGAACGCGGGGCGCCGTCCCTTCAAAACGAGGACCCAACACCACGGGATGGTTGGGGGGGGAAAAAAATGTCGAAATCGATGTATTTGTTTCACAACCCAGGGGAGGAAACAAAACAAAAGGAGGAGGGAAGGGGGAAGAAAGGTCGACGCAGCAAGCGACGCAGACGACCAGAAGGAAGAGGAGGAGGAAAGGAAGGGGGGGCCGAGCACAACGGAGGCACCGCGCGAAACGCGCGCCTTGCGCTCCACGCAAGGCGGCCAGGGGGAAGGAGGAAAGGGGAAGGCCGGGAGGAGACGACGCGAACAACGACAACAACAAACGAGCAAACGAAAATAAACGACAACGACGACGAGACACGACCAGAACAGCAGCAAGCACGAACAAAGAAAAAAGAGAAGAGGCAGACAAGCAAAAAAAGAGAAAACAAAAACAGCGATAAAAATTGCGAGCCGACCCCACATAATAAATCTTATGACCAGAGACTTGCCCGGATTGGCTGGAAGGGCTCGGCTGGTCGCGCGCCAGCCGAAAGGCTCATGAAATGCTGCGCAAAGACTGCTGCCCGCCATGCCACGCTGAAAAACGAGAAGATGGACACTACGCTCGATAGAACAATTGAAACGAACATACGCATCAAAATTTCATCATCACATTTCCGGACAGACCGCCCAGGTCAGGGCCGGATGAACAGAGGACAACAAATGTGAGAGAATGCCCAAGACAGCATCACGCCGCGGGCCTCCAATCCCGGCAGCGCCGGCGGATGGTTTGCAAGAGCTCCGCGCAGGCTGTAGAGGAAACGCCAATCGATTTCCCGTGCGGACTCAATGAGGACGCACCACAAGAGGTTTTGGAAGAGGGACTGGGAAACCTTGACGCTATTCGCGCGAGGCGCTGGCTCGAGCCCAGGCGCCCAGCGCGCAGCCCGCGGCCCAGCGAGCGGCGGGCGCGCGCGATCCAGCCACGGCCGAGCGGGGGAGGTCCCGCTCGCCAGCGTGGCACCGCAGGCAGAGGAGGCAGCGCTCCACTGCGCGGAGGCTCCTGACGCTGGCGCAGGCGCGGGAGTTGCTGGAGGCGCACCACGGAAGCATGGCGCCGAAGTCCTGGAGCTGGAACACCTCGAGCTCGGGGTCGGGGAGCTGGTCCAGCGGACAGGCCTTCACCTGCTGCGCCACGTTGGGATGCAAGGGCTGGATCAAAGACGAGATCTGGCAGCCTGGACTACAATGCCGACATTGCAGGGCCACGTTCAAGAAGCCCTGGCGTGCCAAGCAGAACGAGGGCTACGCGGGCTACTCCAACTCGTCAGGGCCCAGCATGAGTGCATCCGCAGGGGGGCGCCAGAGATGGGGCCAGAAGGCAGAGGCGAAGGAAATCTCGAAGGCGCTGACGCTCATCGCCGAGCGGATGAGCAGCATGCAGCTAGAGAAAAGCGAGCAGCTAGGCAAGCAGCTCACTGGATGTGCTAAGATGCTGGAGAGCCAGGCGGACCCGCCGAAGATCAAGACCAGACCTGAACGGCTCGCGGAGGCTGCCGAGGCGCTGAGGGTCGCGAACAAGCGATTTACAGCGGTGGCGGCCGAGGTAATGAAGCAGCGGGCCTGGTTGAAGGAGCTCGAGGACAAGATGAACGACAAGGCGGAAGAGGAGGCAAAGAAGGAGTCCATATTGGAGGCGATCCACTCGGAAGGTCGGGGTCAGCCCAGCTTCACGCAGCAGCTGATCACGCAGACGCCCGAGGAGATGGCCATGGAGAGGATGATCAACTTGGACAAAGAGCTGACGTTGGATGACGAAGAGGTGGACGAGACGGCAAGGCAGGCGGTCGCCGAGGCGAAGAAGCAGATGCTGCAGGAGCTTCAAAACGGCGCGAAGTCGCATGCGAGCCAGCTGCAGGAACACATCCACCAAGCCAAGGAGAACGCCGCAAAGAACAGGGAGACGATCAGGCAGGAGTACAAGAAGAGGAAAGCGGTGACGCAGGAGGAGACCGCAGGCAAGGCCGCGGATGGAGAGATGGAAGACGCGGACTCACCCGACAAGGACGCACAGGACACGACGGCGCAAGACACCAAGGCAGGCGAGGAGATCGACGACGACCTGGAGGAGGATGCGCTCGGAAAGGCAAGGGCCAAGCTCGCCGCAGTCGGCGGGAAGGCAACGGCCAAGCGGGAGTGACTACAGACACCTGGCACCTAAGAGACGAAGACCGACAAGGGCGTCAGGACAACTTTCGTCGGCAATATCACTACGTGGGGCCCTACTGTGGAGTCGTGGCTTAAGGATAAGCACCTTAGAATAGACGGCAACAAGCACAGTGGGAATGGGTTCGACACGTACATGCTGCAGGAGACGCATCTTCGTCTTCACCTGCTGGAGGAGAAGGAGGCGCTCCTGCACAAATGGGGCCTGATGGCGTGCTTCGCGGCGTCACAACTTTCCGTCAAGTCCGAGGGGAGCTCGAGAGGAGGGGTGGTGATAGCCACGAAGTCGCACTACAGGAGCACATGGTTTCGGGAGCTCGCGGCGTTCGGCAGTGTCTCGGGGGCTACTGCGGGCAACCGTGAGCACCAATTAGGGGCAGAAGATCATGGGCTACTTCAGATGGAGGGCTGGGCAGCAATGACGTGGTACCTCAAGGGGTACAGTCTGGTGCTGATCTCGCTCTACCTGAGGTGCGACCAACCGCTGAAGGAAGGGGCCAATGCAGGGCGATTGGCAGAAGTGGCGAAGTTCACGAAGACGCTACGTACGCCGTGGATCATCGCAGGAGACTTCAACGTCAACCCGACCAGGTTAGCGAAGGAGGGCCTATGTGATTTCCTTGGCGACGCGCGCAACTACACACTACCAGGCGACACGCCGACCTGCTACAAGGCCGACGCGGAGCCATCCCTCATCGCCCACGTGCTAACAAGCCCAACGGCATGCAGGCACACCATCGGGCTCGAGGCCGTATCGCACACCAGCTGGAAGCCGCACATCGGCCAACAGTTGAGCATCAAGGCGGAACTCGAGTACAACATCACGAGAGTGCTGAAGATGCCGACCGCGTTCAACCACCCGAGGCACGTCCGCAAGGGGAGACCGAACCCAGACAGCAAGGCACAACGACGGAAGAGGCAACGGGCACAGCAGCAAGCTGAACGACAGACACACCAAACAGCCCTAAGCCAAGGTCAAAGTCGCATGCACCATGAAGCAAGCGACACAAGATGGGAAGCGCTCTCCCCAATAGGCTGGACGTCATTCCCACTCCTTCCCCACGGAGAGCTACCCGACGATCTGCTACAAGAATGGGCGGTGAACGCTGGCGGTTTAGAGAACGTGGAGGCTGCGACAGGGCGCACAGGGTCCGAGACGGAGACCAGGGGAGAGAAAACTAGGCCAAGTGACATGCGCGATCCAGACGCGGGCATCATCGAGGAAGACTTCGAGTGGCAGGAGAGCGCTGACAGCGAGCAGCTGCCACCAGAACTCCAGCCCGAAGGTCTACTCACACCAAGAGCAGGGGACCAGAGAGAAACTGGGCCCGAGGCAGTTGGCCAGGTGCGAGAAAGGGGTGACTGGAACAAACTGGAGGTCAACGACAGCGAGCTCGAGGAACGCGAGGACAGCAGCCCCATGGAGGTAAAAGAGGTAGACACGCTCACAATGAATGACACATGGGACAAGCACTTCAAGCAGAGGCACGTGAGAAAGTACAAGGAGGCACCAGGATACATCAGCGTGTCAGCGGCGTTCAAGGCGACCAAGGACGAGGCTGAGAAGCTGGGAGCCCAGTACCACCACCTAGTAGCCACAATGGAGAGCTTCTACTGCGAGGCCTATGACATCCAGGAGGAGGACCAGCGTAAGTTCAAGGGAAGAGGTGAAGCGCATGAGTTTCAGGAGAAGGAAATACGTGAACCAGGGACGAGGAGAACCCACTACAGCAACAGGAAGACCAACTGGTGGAGCAGGATGGCCGCAGCCCTGGACACATACGCGAAGCTCAGGATAAGGAAAAGGAAAAGCGACCAACTACGCCAACTCGAAGAATGCTGCAGGCAACTCGCGCACGAAGGAGCACCGTCGGCAGGCAGGACAGCATCGAGCACGGCGAGGTTGCATAGGATCATCTGGAGCGCACGCATCAAGGAGGCCAGTAAGATAGAGGACAGCGTACTGGAGGGCATGGTCTTGCAGGCCAAGATGGAGGCGAGGCAAGCGCTCAAGGCAGACTTGACGAAAGGGGCCAAGGACAACGCGATATGGCTAGCCAACGCGGAGGTAAGCGCCCCAGGAGCTCTACATAAGATCACGAAGCCGAAGAGGAGGCACGAGGACGAATACATGAAAGCAGGCAAGAAAGCCACTAGCCCGAAGGAGACAATCGACCTGAAGGCGGGGGACTTCGAGCAGATGTGGAGCCACTTCAGCAAGCACGAGGAGGCGGTGGAGGTGATCAACATGCTCAGGGAGAAAGCGAAGGAGGAGCCGACGCCGAGATGGACGCTGGAGCAGTTCGACGAGGCAGTGAAAGGCATCCCCAACAAAGGCAAAGGTACGGACGCGATGAACATGGACGACGTCAGGAGGCTACCAGAGCATGGCAGGCAGGCCTACATCGACATGCACAACAGCTGTGAAGAGGAGGTGGCGTGGCCGTGGCAAACGCTACAAGCGATGGACATGCTACAGCCAAAAGACGCAGAACAGATAGACGGCTCTGCGCTCACAGGAGGAGGAGATAGAGCATTGGCACTACTCACGTGGTTCGCCAGGACGTGGGAGCTGCTAAACAGAGACCAGATCAGGAGGTGGGCCAAGAATGTGGAGGAGGACTTCGACGCGGCGGTGGCAGACAACTCATGCCTGAGGGAGGCAATGGCCAGAGCGCTGGGGGACGAGACCTCGCAGGAGCTCGGCGCGCACTCTGCCAACGCCCTGGTCGACGCCAAGCGTTTCTACGATTCCTTGGTCTTCGAGACGGTAGCGAAGAGAGCGATGGGGTACGGCGTTCCGACCAGGGTGCTGGCGATGGCCATGTTGTCGCACCTGACCCCGAGGATGCTGAAGGCAAACAACGCGTACAGCATGCCGATCTACGCAGAGCGGAGCCTGCTGGCGGACTCAAGGCACAGCAACAACTTAGCCAGAACCCTCATATACCACGTGGTGAAGGCCATGAACAACAGGGTGAAAATGGTACAGCCAAGAACCTGGTTCGACGACATAGGTCTGCGAGCAGTGGGGAGCCTGGCCAAGGTGGAGGACCGCATAGTGGAGGCAACCTATGAGGTGACGAAGAAGCTGAACGAGGAGGGGCTAGCCATGGCAGGCAAGTCGGTCCTATTCAGCACGAGCATCGAAATGACGAAGAGGGCCACGAGTAGATTGGCGAAGTTGGGCATCAAGATCAAGGCCGCCACCGAGGGGTGCGACCTTGGACTTGACCGAGCAGGCAGAACATGCACGAGGAGAGCTACTCACGGAGCGAGGTTCAGGAAGGGCATCAAGCGCTTCGGGGCGACCGCAAGGAAGCTGAAGAAGGCAAAGTCGAGGAGGCAGGTCATCGAGCAGGGACCCATGGCGCAGGTCGGCTACGGCACAAAAGCATACGGCGCCAACCCCACGGAGCCCACCCACATCAGGAAGAAGTACGCGCAGGGCCTCAGGCGGGCATGGCCAGGAAGGTGCCTCACGGCGCTGCTCGACTTAGAGGGCAGGCACCCAGGCATCACCATACCCAGGAACCAATTCCAGGCGTGGTTCGACTTGAGGGCCAGCCGACCAGACCTGCGAGCCGGGGTGCGACGGGCCTGGCCGCGTATACATGCACGCCTACTTGCAGCACCACGAAGCACCAGGTGGCAACAGAGGAGGGGTGTGATAGGCGCGCTGATACTACAGCTCTGGGAGATCAACTGGGACGCGAAATCAGCGGACTTCTGGGAAGACGCCGACGGAGGAGGATGGCAACTGCAACCCGACGAGGGAGACGACGACCCAACGGTGCTGCTGGACGCCATCACCAACGATCTAAAGAAAAAGATGTGGACGAAAGCTAGCCTGCACCACAACGGAGCTGGACTGCAACACGGAGCCGACACCTACGACTTGAAGATGCAGCTGAGGCGCCTGCGGGAGCACGGGAAGTACCAGCTGTATGGAGCGCTCCTGACGGCAGCATGCGCAGGGGCATGGTCACCGCAGAGGAGGAGAGACACCTTCGGCGAAGACACGTGCAACCTGTGCAACTGCGGGGAGATAGCGGACGACTACCACATCGTCTGGGGTGACTGCAGCTGCAGGAGCGAGCACGGCATCTTCAAGAAGACAAATAACCTGGTGCGACGAGCTGAACAAAGAAAGGAAGAATGGGCAGCATTCTAGCTGAGGGGTATCACGCCAAGTACCTGGGCTACCCCACCAGCGCGCGAGACGGAGTACAGCGCTGCCAGGACGGGCAAGGCCACAGACACCACCAACGAGGAGCAGGGCAACAAGCTCTACTTACACGAGGATACCATGATAGTGTGCGGCGACGGGAGTGGAGGAGAGCACGGAGACGAAGCGAGATATCGAAGATGCGGTTGGACCTGGGTGGTGATGGAGAAGATAGGCGACACCTGGAACACCACGGCGACAGTCGCAGGCCCACTCCCAAGGCCAAGGCAATCCAACAACAGGGGGGAGATCACAGCCTTCCTCGACTGCTTGCAGACGGCAGGCAGCCTGACCTTCTACACAGACTTAAAGATTATCTGCAAAGGCTGGCACAGCAAGAGGTACCTCATCACGGGATACAAAAAGGCGCATGGAGACCTGTGGAAGAAAATACGACAGAGAATGGCCACAAGAGGTGGAGCTGAAGTGCGGGTTCGTCGCATCGAGGGCCACGTGACCAAAGAGCAGGCGACGGAAAGAGGAGTGAGGATCGAAGCCTGGAAGGGCAACGAGAGAGCGGACCAGCTTGCAGGTGAAGCGGCAGCCAGCCACAGGATCTCAGAGGCGCAGACGGGATGCTACAGATGGGTACTTGCGACGTCACACCTAGTAAGAACACGAAGGGTAATGGCCTACCAGGAGCACTTCCAGAGGGTGAAGCCCATGACCTGGGACTTGACCGAGCAGGCAGCACATGTACGAGGAGAGCTACTCACGGAGCGAGGTTCAGGAAGGGCATCAAGCGCTTCGGGGCGACCGCAAGGAAGCTGAAGAAGGCCAAGTCGAGGAAGCAGGTCATCGAGCAGGGGCCCATGGCGCAGGTCGGCCACGGCAGAAAAGCATACGGCGCCAACCCCACGGAGCCCACCCACATCAGGAGGAAGTACGCGCAGGGCCTCAGGCGGGCATGGCCAGGAAGGTGCCTCACGGCGCTGCTCGACTTAGAGGGCAGGCACCCAGGCATCACCATACCCAGGAACCAGTTCCAGGCGTGGTTCGACTTGTGGGCCAGCCGACCAGACCTGCGAGCCGGGGTGCGACGGGCCTGGCCGCGTATACATGCACGCCTACTTGCAGCGCCACGAAGCACCAGGTGGCAACAGAGGGGTGTGATAGGCGCGCTGATACTACAGCTCTGGGAGATCAACTGGGACGCGAAATCTGCGGACTTCTGGGAAGACGCCGACGGAGGAGGATGGCAACTGCAACCCGACGAGGGAGACGACGACCCAACGGTGCTGCTGGACGCCATCACCAACGATCTAAAGAAAAAGATGTGGACGAAAGCTAGCCTGCACCACAACGGAGCTGGACTGCAACACGGAGCCGACACCTACGACTTGAAGATGCAGCTGAGGCGCCTGCGGGAGCACGGGAAGTACCAGCTGTATGGAGCGCTCCTGACGGCAGCATGCGCAGGGGCATGGTCACCGCAGAGGAGGAGAGACACCTTCGGCGAAGACACGTGCAACCTGTGCAACTGCGGGGCGATAGCGGACGACTACCACATCGTCTGGGGTGACTGCAGCTGCAGGAGCGAGCACGGCATCTTCAAGAAGACAGATAACCTGGTGCGACGAGCTGAACAAGGAAAGGAAGAATGGGCAGCATTCTAGCTGAGGGGTATCACGCCAAGTACCTGGGCTACCCCACCAGCGCGCGAGACGGAGTACAGCGCTGCCAGGACGGGCAAGGCCACAGACACCACCAACGAGGAGCAGGGCAACAAGCTCTACTTGCACGAGGATACCATGATAGTGTGCGGCGACGGAAGTGGAGGAGAGCACGGAGACGATGCGAGATATCGAAGATGCGGTTGGACCTGGGTGGTGATGGAGAAGATAGGCGACACCTGGAACACCACGGCGACAGTCGCAGGCCCACTCCCAGGGCCAAGGCAATCCAACAACAGGGGGGAGATCACAGCCTTCCTCGACTGCTTGCAGACGGCAGGCAGCCTGACCTTCTACACAGACTTAAAGATTATCTGCAAAGGCTGGCACAGCAAGAGGTACCTCATCACGGGATACAAAAAAGCGCATGGAGACCTGTGGAAGAAAATACGACAGAGAATGGCCACAAGAGGTGGAGCTGAAGTGCGGGTTCGTCGCATCGAGGGCCACGTGACCAGAGAGCAGGCGACGGAAAGAGGAGTGAGGATCGAAGCCTGGAAGGGCAACGAGAGAGCGGACCAGCTTGCAGGTGAAGCGGCAGCCAGCCACGGGATCCCAGAGGCGCAGACGGGATGCTACAGATGGGTACTTGCGACGTCACACCTAGTAAGAACACGAATAGTAATGGCCTACCAGGAGCACTTCCAGAGGGTGAAGCCCATGACCTGGGACTTGACCGAGCAGGCAGCACATGTACGAGGAGAGCTACTCACGGAGCGAGGTTCAGGAAGGGCATCAAGCGCTTCGGGGCGACCGCAAGGAAGCTGAAGAAGGCCAAGTCGAGGAGGCAGGTCATCGAGCAGGGACCCATGGCGCAGGTCGGCTACGGCAGAAAAACATACGGCGCCAACCCCACGGAGCCCACCCACATCAGGAGGAAGTACGCGCAGGGCCTCAGGCGGGCATGGCCAGGAAGGTGCCTCACGGCGCTGCTCGACTTAGAGGGCAGGCACCCAGGCATCACCATACCCAGGAACCAGTTCCAGGCGTGGTTCGACTTGTGGGCCGGCCGACCAGACCTGCGAGCAGGGGTGCGACGGGCCTGGCCGCGTATACATGCACGCCTACTTGCAGCGCCACGAAGCACCAGGTGGCAACAGAGGAGGGGTGTGATAGGCGCGCTGATACTACAGCTCTGGGAGATCAACTGGGACGCGAAACCAGCGGACTTCTGGGAAGACGCCGACGGAGGAGGATGGCAACTGCAACCCGACGAGGGAGACGACGACCCAACGGTGCTGCTGGACGCCATCACTAACGATCTAAAGAAAAAGATGTGGACGAAAGCTAGCCTGCACCACAACGGAGCTGGACTGCAACACGGAGCCGACACCTACGACTTGAAGATGCAGCTGAGGCGCCTGCGGGAGCACGGGAAGTACCAGCTGTATGGAGCGCTCCTGACGGCAGCATGCGCAGGGGCATGGTCACCGCAGAGGAGGAGAGACACCTTCGGCGAAGACACGTGCAACCTGTGCAACTGCGGGGCGATAGCGGACGACTACCACATCGTCTGGGGTGACTGCAGCTGCAGGAGCGAGCACGGCATCTTCAAGAAGACAGGTAACCTGGTGCGACGAGCTGAACAAGGAAAGGAAGAATGGGCAGCATTCTAGCTGAGGGGTATCACGCCAAGTACCTGGACTACCCCACCAGCGCGCGAGACGGAGTACAGCGCTGCCAGGACGGGCAAGGCCACAGACACCACCAACGAGGAGCAGGGCAACAAGCTCTACTTGCACGATGATACTATGATAGTGTGCGGCGACGGAAGTGGAGGAGGGCACGGAGACGATGCGAGATATCGAAGATGCGGTTGGACCTGGGTGGTGATGGAGAAGATAGGCGACACCTGGAACACCACGGCGACAGTCGCAGGCCCACTCCCAGGGCCAAGGCAATCCAACAACAGGGGGGAGATCACAGCCTTCCTCGACTGCTTGCAGACGGCAGGCAGCCTGACCTTCTACACAGACTTAAAGATTATCTGCAAAGGCTGGCACAGCAAGAGGTACCTCATCACGGGATACAAAAAGGCGCATGGAGACCTGTGGAAGAAAATACGACAGTGAATGGCCACAAGAGGTGGAGCTGAAGTGCGGGTTCGTCGCATCGAGAGCCACGTGACCAGAGAGCAGGCGACGGAAAGAGGAGTGAGGACCGAAGCCTGCAAGGGCAACGAGAGAGCGGACCAGCTTGCAGGTGAAGCGGCAGCCAGCCACGGGATCTCAGAGGCGCAGACGGGATGCTACAGATGGGTACTTGCGACGTCACACCTAGTAAGAACACGAATAGTAATGGCCTACCAGGAGCACTTCCAGAGGGTGAAGCCCATGACCTGGGAGGAGAACGACGAAGCCAGAAAGAAAAGAAAGCACAGAATACGCCGCACCTACTAGTAAAACGTGGAAGGTCATAGATGCACAAGATGCCGCGAGTCAGTGGGGCGCCACCAGCGATCTCCAGCTATGAGGTGGTGGATGCAGAGGTGCAAAGGAGAGGCGACAGAACAAGAGCGGCAAAAGGAGCGACCAGGTGCCTCATGATGAAAGGAAGGCTTCCCACGTGTCACACAGCATATGCTGGTCAAAACACCAGAGCAAGCACTTCTGCTGGAGCTGCTGCGCCACGGCGGTGAAGCACCTGAACCACAAGATGATCGACAAGTGTGAGGGCTGGCCGCTCAGACCAGCTTCTAGCTACGCGTTGGAGGCGCTACTGAAAGAGAAGGACTGGTTAGTGGGAACTGGTGCGAGGTCGAAGTCGTCTAAGGCCTAGTTCGCGAGAATGGAGTGCAAAGCCCTGGACCTCGCCTCGAGCAAGGCGAAAGCCCACGTCGTTGAGCGCCGGAGAGCACAGATGATAGCCAGGTGAAATTCACGGAAATCCACGTCGTCAATCAACAGGAGAGCATAGACGATAACCAGGTGAGAATACAGAGATCCACGCGGTTGTACACCAAGAGAGCAAAACGAAAACCAGGGGAACGAGAGCAGTCGCCTGGACGACCGAGGCAGCGTTCAATGGGGGGAATGCGAGGAGGCCAGCCGCGAAATCCCCGCGGTGCTCTACTGAAGCGGCGGCTGCCGCCAGCCGCCCCGCCAGTCGATCGACTATCAGAAAAGACCGCCAAAATGTTTGACACTATTCGCGCGCACGACGGAATCCAAAGAATATTGTTGCGCATTGTATTTGCTGGGGTCGGAGGCCCCTCTGAGCAGGAGTAAGCATCGCATGGCATGGTGGGAGCATCACTGACAGGACCTCTTGGCTCAAGAGATGACAGCAACATCATCAATCTAGCTACATGGTAGCGGAGCTCGGTTCCCACGCCACGGGAGCTGAGCTCGCGCGCCACGCGACCTCCACGCCCGAGTGGGCTGCTCGTCAGCAGCGATGGCGGCGATCGAGGCGGTTGACGTGCGGACCGACATGCGGCTGCAGCGGTTCGACGGCACGGAGGAGAAGTGGGGAGACTGGAGTCTCCGATTCGAGGTCTACACTGCGCTGCTCGGCTTCGAGGAGTTCGTGACAGCGGCAGGCGGCAGGCCAGAGGCAGGACCCGCTGCTGAACGACCAGCTCGACGAGCGCGCCAGGCAGGTCAGCCAGCGTCTGTGGCATCTGCTGGTCACGTATTGTGAGGGAAAGGCGATGGGAGTGGTCAAGCTCTCGCGCAAGAATGGCCTCGAGACGTGGCGCCAGCTCAAGAATGAGTACGAGAGCCGTTCAGGGAATCGTTGGACGGCGATGCTGAGGTTCATCCTGAACCCGCAGGACAAGCGGGCCAAGGATCGCGAGGCGGGCATCGACTTCTTTCAGTCGCTCACCGCCTGGGAGGCGATCGTGGCCGAGTACGTGGATCAGAGCGGCGAAGCCGTCTCGGACAATGTCAGGGTGAGCGAGCTGCTGGAGCACGCGACAGATCCCCATCGTGAAGTGCTGCGACAGGCCCCAGAGGAGGTGAAGCTCACGTTCGGGACAGCTCGCAGCCAAATCAGGGGCTACTACAACCAAGGAAGGACTTTCACTCACGTCCCAGACGTGGGCGGGGTCGTCCCAGTGCAGGTGGATGCAATCCGTGCCCAGCTTCCCAATGGCAAGGCCAGCGGCCAGGGCAAGACGCACAAGTCGGACAAGTCAGGCGGGAAGTCGGGCAGATACCAGAAGGGTAAGGACTCGAAGACCAAGTCTAAGGGTCGCGACGGCGGCAAGCACGGCAAGAACCAAACGGAGTACTTTGACGGCGAGTGCGGCTACTGCGGCAAGCGGGGCCACAAGCGGGCAGACTGCAGGAAGAAGAAGGCCGACGACCCGAAGAAGGAGCCAGGGCACACGCGAGCGGTTCAAGGCGACGCAACCTCGTCATCAGGCCAGCAGCCAGCGGATGGCACGGTGAAGGCGGCGTCGGGCTACCATGACGGCAAGCCCGATGGCTGGGTGTTCGCGGTCACGGCGCAGACGGACGGCAAGGTGGCGAAGGTCGGCGGCTCCATCCTGATCGACAGCGGCAGCGACGACCATCTCTGCAGGCACAGATTTGTCCCACAGGCCCCCAGCAGCGCTGCAGTGGACGCGCCGAGGCTCTTCGACGTGCAGCAGCGCCCACTACCGACGGCAGGCCTGAGGGGAGTAGAGATGACCATGAAGGAGGGCATCACGGCGACGGCGGACTTCCTCGTCGCTGACGTGAACGACGATCTGCTGAGCATGGGGAAGCTGCTCGGGCAGGGCTTCAGGTTCAACCTCAGCCTGGAGGACGGGCTCTACATGGCGAAGGGCCATCGCAGCGCGCAGCTCACGCTGGAGAGGGACAGCCTCCTCAGGCCCCCGATTGTCTCGGCGGGCCCCGCAGATGAGGCTCACCACTGCCGCGGAGCAGCAGAGCGGAAGGATGCGGCGACAGCTCCTGTGCTCAACGCGGACAGCTCGGTCGGCGCGATGAGGACCAGGCTGAAGGAGTTGTGCATTCCCATCTACGGTACCAAGGCGGAGCTTTGGGACAGGCGCATCGCGGCGGAGGCCGCGGTCAGGCGATCGGAGGCTGAGAGGGCGCACAAGCAGGCAGTCAAGGAACAGCTCGGGATCCAGCACGACCCAGTCGAGGCTAGGGAGTTACCCGTACCGAAGGCTCCGAGCGCTGAGGAGGGGAGGCAGCACCGCCTCACTCATCTACCAACCGCGCCCTGGCGCGAGGAGTGCATCCGTGGCAAGGCGCCCGATGCTCCCCACACTCAGGTCACGCTCGAGGACTCCGAGCGGAAGGCGCCGCTCATCAGCTTTGACTTTGGTTTCTGCGAGACGGCTGATGAGGACGGGGATCTGACGAAGGTTGAGGACACCTACGCGACGATGCTCGTGGCGATCAGCTCGGACGCTGGTGTAGTAAAGGTCATTACATGCCCATCGAAGTCGGCATCACCATACGCGATTGCAGGCATCAAGGAGTTCGCGCAGCGGTTCGAGACGGGCAAGTGCAGACTCAGGACCGACTCTGAGCCTGCAACGAGGGCAATCCTGGACGGGGTAGTCGCAGAGCTGACAGGCAAGGTCATTCCAGAACTGACGCCCAAGCACAGCAGCCAGTCCAGCCCAGCGGAGGCGGCGGTGAAGATCACCGAGGGCCAGACGCGGGACCTCAAGTTGGATCTTGAGAAGCGCTACGGCACCAAGATCACGGCGGCGATGCCGATCGGGGCCTGGGTGATGCGCCACGCTGGGTGGCTACACGAACGGTATTCGCGACGAGCTGGAGGGCAGACCCCACATGAGATAGCGACGGGCACGCCCTACAAGGGCGACATCTGCACCTTCGGCGAGACGGTGTTGCATCGAATAGCTCGACCGAAACATCGAGGACTCGGTGGAGGACGGCGGCTACACCGCGGGGAGGCGCAGCGGGGCCGTGGGATCTGGGTTGGCAGATCCGACGAGACCCAGGAGCATCTGATGATGACGCCGCAGGGGGTCGATCGAGCTCGGACCGCGCGACGGCTACCTGAGGGCAGACAGACCGACAAGGAACTCCTGCTGTCGGCGACGGGCCTCCCTTGGGCGACTTGGACGGCGCCCGAGAGGTCGAGGCGACCACGGGCGGCCCCGCCCGTGGCGACAGAGATCCCGAGGGCGGATCAGCGGCAGCAGCAGCAGGCACAGCAGCCGGCAGGGCCACCCGAAGGCCGAGCGGACCCTGCTCAACTACAGGCCCCACCGCAGGCCCCAGGCCCAGAGGTGGCGGCAGGACAGCGACAGCCACAGCCGCAGCCCCAGCAGCCAGCGCAGCCAGCGCCAGGAAATCTGGCCATGGGGGCGCCGCCCCCACAGGCGGAGAGGCGCGGGCTGCCGCCTGAGGCGGAGGCCTCGGAGAGCAAGCGAGCGCGGGTTGCAGCGGTTCACGAGCTGGACGTCGGCAACATAGACGACCCGCCCGACACGCTCTGGGAGGAGATCTCGGATGAGGTCGAGGACCCGACCGAGATCATGTTCGACGTGGACGCGCAGGACGAGCTGGACAAGAAGCTCACGCTGGAGCACCTGCAGAGCCTCCTGGACCACGGATTCGGCGAGGACATCCCACGCTTTCTACCAGGCGCCCGAGCACGAGGACGTGGTGGTGGATCCACCGCAGGAGTACCTGCACAGGCTGCAGGCAGAGGGCAAGAGCACGGACATCTTCTGGAAGCTGAAGAGACAGCTACCTGGCAGGCGCACGGCGGCGCCTGGCTGGGTGGAGCACATGGCGGGCATCCTCGTGGACGAGATGCGCATGGCGAGGTGCGAGGTGGCTCCTTAGTTCTTCTACAACTCAGAGGCCGAGGTGGTGGTCGAGCTCCACATGGACGACCTGCACATGGCATGACCAGGGGACGCGCTGGAGGGCTTCCGCGACGAGCTGGGACAGCACGTGACCTTCAGCGGCGGCGAGATCCACGAGTACGGCACCACCTACGAGCACCTGAAGAGGCTGAGGACGCGGTTCGAGCACGGGACGGAGCTGAAGGCGAACCCGAAATACCTGGACTACGCGGTGGAGACCCTCGGCCTCGGGAGCGCGAACACGGCGCCCACGCCAGGAGTGCCAGCTCACAAGGCGCTCATGGGGAGCACCCCTGCCCTGTCTTCCGTTCAGGCTGGCATATACCGATCGTGCGTGGGGGCGCTGATGTACGACGCCCAGGACAGGGCGGACTGCCAGTATGAGGTGAGCCTACTAGGACGGATGTTGTCGGGCCCCACCGTCGGCGCCCTCACCGCATTCAAGAGGCTGGTCAGGTACCTGATGGGCACGAAGGACGCGGTGAACTGGCTCCCGAGGCCGACGGAGGGCACGAACGTGGAGCTGGTGGGCTACGGCGACAGCGACTGGGCAGGGGACCTGCAGACGAGGAGGTCACAGTCTAGCGGCAAGATCGAGATTGACAACGCCCCCGTGCACTCCTTCAGCAGGCGCCAGGGGATCGCGGCGACTAGCTCGGGAGTGGCTGAGTACTACACGGCGACTGCGGCCGCCGAGGATCTCCTCTACTTCAAGTCGCTCCTGGAGTTCATGGGCTCCACGGTGGCGACTACTCTTCTGACGGACTCGTCGGCGGCCCGAGGGATTGCCAAACGCGAAGGAGTTGGCAAGGCCAGGAGCCTGGAGGCGCGGGTGCTCCGGCTCCAGCAGGCGATCAAGAGGGAACTGATGGACCTCGGGACCGTCGGCACCGACTACAACAAGGCCGACCTGGGCACGGAGATCCTCGGGCACGAGCGCTTCGTCAAGCCCAGGACGATGAATGGCATCTACACGGACGTGGGCCAGGTTGCGGAGAGCGACCACCAGTCGGAGGAGGTGGTCTTCGACGAGGGGGCGGCGGTTCGGGTTCGGCGCGCCCCGGGCGCGGCCACTTCACCGAGTGCGACCCGCTCAGCGGCCCTGGCGATGATCACGGCGGCGGTAGCGCTCCCTCAAGGGTGCGAAGGACCCGCCATCAAGGACGACGGCTACTACGACACGGAGGTTTGCTCCAAGGACGGCGTGGTCGCGAGCGACCCGACCAACTATTGGCTGGCGCTGGTCGTCTGGACGCTGGTCGCGGCCACCGTCTTCGGCTACGCGGGGTTCCGCTACGTAAGCTGGGGGGGGCACGAGCGGCTCCTCGTCCAGACCGAGCCCGATGACGCGAAGGACAAAAAGATCGACTCAAGCATTGGCTGCATGTCATCCAAGTCGACCAAGTCGTCGGTGGATCAGAGCAACCGCATGAGGAGGACGGCCGGCACTCAATCGCAGACAACGAACAAGTGGAGATGGGCTGCTCCACGTTTTCAGCCATTGTCGATCAGCATGCACGGTGTCTTCCTTGAGGTGCATGCTGGGGGTGATGCCAAGGCTAGAGGACGTTTTCTGCACTGAGGCCCAGGGTGAAGACCTTGAGCGGCTACGCGTTGCACTGTGAGACAGGACAGTGCGAGATTTGCTGAGCTCACGTTCCATTTGCCATGCTTGACAGTAGTAATTTCCTCATGACATGCTCAGACCCGTTGCGGTAGTATTTTGGCAAGTTTCTCCAGTGTTCTGGCTCACGACTACATATTTCAGTGTTGTGGCTCCCCGCACACCGTGCTGAGCCGTGAGTTGCACAAGTGCTCTCTGTGGACTCCTGCAGGAGCAAGACCACCCGATTCAGACACCGCAGCCTGCAACACCATGGCGGCAGCTTCTGCAGCTGCTCTTCAAGGCGAGTCGACAGACCTTTCTCAGCAGTATCAGGGCAACATGTTGGCAGCAACTTCTCAAAGATTGAACGACCGTCGAGCTGCTGTCGCCGCTGCGCCACAGAGATCTCCTTCGAAAGGATCGCCGCCAACGAAAACTGCACGGATGGATGAGGACATTGGCATGCATGACCAGTTCACTACTGCGCAGGCCTTTCCAGGCTTGGCTGGCGGTGATGCCCCGCCTAATGCTGCTGCGGCTGTGGGCGTCCTGGGTGCTACATCAGCCCCAGTGAGTGGGACTGGTCGCGCTGGTTCTGCTGATCCTGTTCCTCCTGGTCCGACGGTTTCATCTGATGAAAAGCTTAATTCTATCATGGGCAATATGATGATGCAAAGTCAGTTTGACCGTCAGATGAAACAGCACCCCATTGACATCATGAAGGCAGCGAAACATTATATTTCGGAGGAGTTGACGCCAGTCCAAGAGGACGTTGAGCAGCTCAAGAAAGACGTCGTCGAGCTTCAAACACGTTCTTCTGTAACGTCGAGCGTTCCTATGGACACGCGGCAGATCCAGTTTCGATCCGGCCCACAAGCGTATTGCGTTAATCGGATTCTCTGGTTCTAATCTTACTAGCCGCGTTCGCGACATGGAGAACATTTTGAGCACTTTGTCTTCTGCGCCGACTCATTCGACAGGGCAATTTTACAGTGGTCCGAGGACGACTCGTGTGCCAACGAAGGTTTCTCACTTTAGAATTTGTCTCTGCAGATGTGGCAAGGAACGTCTTCGAGCATTTGGACGGGGAGACTTTTCAGTGTAGACCGTTCCTCCATCAAGATTCGCATGGCAAAAAACGCAACTGAATCTTCAAAGAGACTGGTGCTTGCGGAAAGCTGGTGAGATTATTAAGGAGCAGCCCCGCTCATCTAATATTCGCGTCGATTTCAAGAGTCGCGAGGTGCAGATCGACGGTGTCATTGGTTTCAAGCAGGAATCTGGAGAGATTTCAGGGTCTTTGCGGAATGCATTTGCAGCCTTGCGGCTGGCGTAGGGACGCGGGGGAACCGTTCACTGTCTCACCCCTCCTTTGACCTTCGCCCTCCGTTGTACGAATTGTGAGCGGTTCCCGGGTCACCGTTTGCGAAGACGAGGTCCACGCGGCCTCAATGCACTGCACCGTCGTAACCGCATGTATGTTTACCTGGTGTTGCAGAGGCCCCTTTCTCAAATTCGCCCGCGTCGTGCTCTCCTGGGGGGCCCGGATTCTTAGACCAGATTATTATCAGGACAGATTCTCTCAGCGCGGATTTTCGACCCGCCTTAGGCCGCCGAGTGTTCAGGACGGATTTTCGACCTGCCTTTAGGCAGCCGAATGTTCAGGACGGATTTCGACCCACCTTAGGCCGCCGAATGTTCAGGGCGAATTTTCGACCCGCCTTGGGCCGGCGAGCGTTCAGGACGGATGTTCGACCCGCCTTAGGCCGCCGAATGTTCAGGCCGGATTTTCGAGATGCATTAGGCCGCCAAGCGTTCAGGGCGAATTTTCGACTTAGGTCGCCGAATATTCAGGACAGATTTTCGACCAGCCTTAGCCTGGCGAGCCTGGCGCTGGACGATTCTCGTAATGGATCCTCGAGAACGCACGGAGTTTGCATGAATTCTGCGCTGGGTTTCACAGTAATTTGCCTCAGGGTGGTGGCCATGGCGAACCCCGGCCTGAGGGCTAGGCTCACAGTTTTGACTTTGAACATTCAGCGTTTTGAAATGCAAAAAGACGAACTATTTGCCTAAATGTCCTCCCTCCCTTCTTTTCCATCTCTTATTTGTTTAACCGAGACTTGGCTTGATGAATCCGTCGCCCACCCAGCTCCCCCCGGATATTCTTTAGTTGCACGGCGAGACCGGGACGGTCTAGGTGGTGGAGTTTGCATATTCGCTTTGACTCGGCGATTGACGCTTGTTCTTTTGTTCTTCGTTATCCTTCTGCTGATGCATACTGAGTCTGGGCCGATTCTTGTTTGTTGTTGGCACCGTCGACCGCGCCGCGGAGAAGTGCAATCGATTGAACATTTAAGCTACGAACAGAATTCGCTAGTAAATCAACGTGTAGGCGCAACTATAACCGGGGATATGGATGTGCATCATAAGCACTTTCTCTAATCATGTTTCTCCTGAGGACACTTGCTTGAAAAATTGGTGCCTGCAGAGGGGTTTTCGCGAATGCATTCGTGCCCCCACTCGGGGCCCTCATCTCCTCGATCTGTTTTTGCGTGATATACCAGACATGAATACTTCGAAGGTTTTAACACAAACGGCTGATCATTCTGCAACTTTATGCTCAATTTGCACGCCGCCGCATATATTTGAGCACAGCGAGCGGCGTGGTTTGTTAAAGATGTGGATTCGCCGAAGAAGCATGCATATGTCGTCTGAAGCTGCCTCTGTTGTTTCGCACCTTGGATGAATCAGCAGTGCCTGAACGCGGTTCGTGCGAAGCGCCACGCTGCCGGCACGCCCTCTTGACCGGCTGCCGCTGCCGCCTGTAGCGCTGCGACGCTGGAGGCATTCCGTGCTCACGCGCAACGCACCCGCCGGGAGCTCCGGCCCTTCGGCCGTGGAAGCAAGAAATGGTAGAGGGTCTCTAATGAGCTTTTGTCGCGTTCTGAAGCGTTCTGACGGCTCGCGAGCTCTTTCTGCCTCTGCTAAAGCCGATTTGTCTGCAGTCCTTTACCAGCAAGTGACGTCTTCCCGCCCCTGTTTTTAATGAGTTTACTGATTTGTCTATTTCGTTTATACCACCGGACCGCTGGGAAGCCAGCGTTATTCGGACGAGATCCGCTCGTGCTGTTCCCGGCGATCTCCGCCAGGACAGCGGAACTGGCCCTGATCTTCTCCCAGCCAGCGTTGTGAAACGATGCGCTGGCAGCCTGGCTGCGCCCGTTACATTCATGGTCACCATCAAAGACCACCTTGGGCAATAATTTTATAATAGAAATATACTAAACACTGAGATTCAATCCCGTTTGACCATAATATTTATCACGGCTACACAACAATTCGTCCCTAATTATGAATAATATCATGATATTCGAATTTAATAAATGCAATAGTGCACGCCTGCTTCTAAGAAAAATTCTCTCTAGGTTGATGAATTTGAACTATCATTGAATTCGACCTTAAACTTGGCTTTAATTAATTATGTTGTTTACTCGTATTGAGCTTACCAACATATTATTGATACTTTCACTTTAATATTTTAATGCTGTTTTTTTCTCTGAAATTTTGCATTCACTATATTCGAATTAATCTGCCCGGCACCTGGCTGACTCTCTTCAGCTTCGCGCTCCAGATTTTGCTTGCCGCTCTGTTCTTGGCTCCGTAGGAGCATATAACCTCCTACCAGACAGCACTGCGGCTGCCCAAAGTGTCCACGACATTCAAGCGCTTCTCCAAGCTTCGCTCAAGGATATGGCTGATTCGTACCCTGAGTGGACAAATACTTTAAGCTGCCGCGCTCGTTTGCTAACCACCCTTTGCGCCGGCGCCGGGACTGGCAGCCCGGCTAGCTCTCCCTCTTGTCTCTCCTTCTTCTTGTTTTCTTTCTCCTTCCCTCTTTTCCCTCCCCTCCTCCCCCCCCCCTCTCTTATCCTGATTGCTGCTGTCGTTGCCGTCGCCCGCCCTCCTCTCCTCTGCTCCTCCCCCCGCGCGGGTTCTGAGCGGCGCTCGGTCCGCAGGCGTTTTTTTCCTCGCCTGGCGCATCCGGCGCTTTCCCTCTCCTTCTCTTCCTCGCCCCCCCTGCTTGCTTGCCTGCTTGCCGCGCACTCCCCCCCCCCTCACTCTCGTCTTCTTCTCTCGTCCTCTTCCTCTTCTTCTTATCATTTTTATTTTTCTTTTTGTTCTCTGTTCGTCTTCCTCTTGTCCTCCTCCTTTATTCCTCGTTCCGCTTTCTCTCTCCGTCTCTTGCTTATTTTTACTCTTAAATGTTTTGTGTTCTTTGACGCTGGCGCGACCCGTGCGTGGTATGGTTCATCCCCGCAAGGCTGCGTAGAAAAAGAAAGTATAGCGCGTTTGACTTACAACCCCGCGAATCAACAATCTCACCACTACCAAAAAAACACGCGCGCGCCAGACGCAAAGCAGCTACCATCGGCAGCCGCCCTACTAGGAACAAATAGCTTACGGTCGCAGACCACAAGGGGAGAAGAAAGGAGGGGGGGGAAAGGAGGAGGAGGCAGCAAGCGACGCAGACGACCAGAGAGAAGGAGAAAGAGGAGGGAGGAGAAGGGGGGGGCCGAGCCCAACGGAGGCACCGCGCGAAGCGCCCGCCCTGCGCTCCACGCATGGCGGCCGGGGGAAGGAGGAAAGGGGAAGGCCGGGAGGAGACGGCGCAAAACAACGACAACAAACGAGCAAACGAAAACGAACGACAACGACGACGAGACACGACCGGAACAGCAAGCACGAACAAAGCAAAAGGAGAACAGGAGAGGGGAGGGAAAGAGAAGGAGAGAGAGGCACACAAGAAAAAAGAGAAAACAAGAACAGCGATAAATTTTTTGAGCCGACCCCACAGCAAAAATCTTATGACCAGAAACTTGCCCGGATCGGCTGGGAGGGCTCGGCTGGTCGCGCGCCAGCCGAAAGGCTCATGAAATGCTGCGAAAAGACTGCTGCCGGGCCATGCCACGCTG